GGTCAGCTGCTACCACTTCCTCTAACCCTCATCATGACAACATCAGGTAAAGAGCATTTTTTTGTTAGTCATGATCCGCTAATTTAGATTCTAAAATTCAGACTTCTGTTTCCCTATTTCTAGTATCCTTATTTTAAAACACAGTGTTTTTTCCTATCCTCCCTCTCAACTCTTGAAATATTTCAGGCGGTTATTCCTTACCCCTCCAAGTCGTCTGCAAAGACTTGTCTCATAGGTACAACGTGCTGCAGAATTCTGGCTCAAAGCGATGTGCGAGGGGAGGCTCTTAAATTACATTAGCAGTATACTTGGAGTATTTTCTGTTCAGTAGTGAGTTTCATATTTTTATTGCCAGAAAATTTGACCTGGCATCACCTTATTTTTTCCACGAGTTCTCAGTGATGTGCCTGTGGTGGTAGTTGTAGCTGGTGGATGCCTTTTCACTACCGTTACCTTGGCGGGTTGACAGTCGTTCCAGGGGAACTGGACTGACACGTAATCTCATGGTCGGGAGGAAGGAAAAAAAATATAGTCCCTTCCAGGTCTGTTGTTCCCATTTCCCACTACACTTCTGTGTTTTCACCAACATGGAGATTACGTTTGTGCTTGGGTAGACACTGGATCCATGCAGGTGATTCTTCTCTAACTCAGGAATTCCGCTTTTGTAACAGCCCAAGAGATTGTCTCAAGGAATTTCTTGCTGGTAGCCCTTTCCTCTCCTTGTGCACCCATCAACCCAAAGAAACACAGACCAAAACATAATTAACTTCCTATCTCTTACACAGTGTCTCTCAAGGATCTAACTGTTGTCAAAGTCCAGACTAATGTTAACTGTCATCTAGAAACAGCAATCCTTGTTCAGAAACAACACGTTAATGACCAATGGTACAGGGAAACCTTTGGCAAGTTTTCTGTTGGCGGGGGGGGGAGAGGAAACCCTGTCTGAGCTGAGGGCATTCTGTAGACCTTTGCTGAAAGTGGTGAAGGAACGTGCAGTACAGAAGTAGTATCCGTTGTGCAAGCTTCAGGAATACGACTCATATTCAGGTTAGTCAAAGTTGACCATTAACTGGCATTAAATGCTGAACGTTCTTTTAGGTGTATTTTGTTATGAATTTGATAATCTTGATGTTAGTTTGTTCAATTTCCTAAGCTGCTTGTGGCAGCTGTTCAGATTTCCTAATGAGGAAGCAGGTCAAGGGGAACTGACATTGAAAACTCAGGTTTTAAGACAGAGTGACAAACTCAGTGGTAGGTGCAGCATCAGGAGCTACTTTTACCTGTCAGTTGTTGGAAAAGAATCTGGTTAAGAGATAGCATTTGGATGATCAAAACACATACGTAGAGACTGTCTGCTACTTCCCAACTGATAATAAATGTGCCATGTTTAATTAACTTGCCCTGGAGTTAGAATAGTGTTTTCTCTGAATCACTACGTTAAGAAAACTGAGAGGTGCTCTGGGAACAAACTTTTTAATGCGCACAAAGTGACTGTGCAATAGATTCTTTATTTGCAAGGTTCTCTGCTTAAAATTCTGAGATTAAAGGGACTGATATCATTAATTTCAGTGGTGTCCACTTGGGATATTTAAGTAGGTACTGAGCATAAGACACCAGTTCTTTCCAGGTCTTCATTTGGTTATTTCTAATCTATTGCCAAGTCTCTTGCAACTTTAGCATTTTAGCTCAGGGAATTTTCAAGTTTCGTTAATCAGTTAAATAACTGTAAACAGTCTCTTGATAGACCAAGTGCCAGCAAGAAGTCAGTCTGTGTGGAGAATCTTCAAAAATATTTAAATATGGAGAGCAATAAATCCAGATTCAGTCAAGCCCTTATCCACTTCATATGTCTTTGTGCTTTCTTCAGTTAGGATCCAATTGAAATAGACAAGTCCGTAAAAGCTGGGAAAAAAAGTTTTCTAATTCTTCTCAGCACCACCACCAAAAAATGCATCTACTAGAATGTTGATAAAATATGATACTTGCTAATCTTTGCATGGATGAGACAGCTAAGCTCTCTCTCTTATCTGGTAGATACGGTCTTTCCAACTTGGATACGCCGCTTGAGGGAACACCAGATGACATGACAGTTGTAGATGCTGCTTCCTTAAGAAGACAGGTATGTAAAGCACACAAATTGGTAATATTAAGAAAAAGCTGTAGTGATAAGATGGAGGAACAGGTGTTCTGTGTGGCTGCAAAGGTACCCATAACAGGGATGATGAGGGATCCTTTCTGTACCCTGAGGGCTGGAGTGCCCTCACTGTCCTGTATCATCTGTGAATCTGGAGAGTCCCACACCGTTTCTGTTCCTGCTTATAAGGGACAGCAAGATCTGATCACTAACCATTGAAGACAGTCAAATTATCAAGTGTTTAAAATCCATCCAAGATACTAATTTTACATGGCTATTCATAAGCTTCTAGAAAGTCTGGCAACTTTTAATGAAGTCTTAAAAGCCTTTATTTATTTTTAGATAATCAAACTTAACCGCCGTCTGCAACTTCTGGAAGAAGAAAACAAGGAGCGTGCTAAAAGGGAAATGATCATGTATTCAATTACTGTAGCTTTCTGGCTACTCAACAGCTGGCTTTGGTTTCGGCGCTAGACACAGCTCTTGGAAGGATTTAATAGTTGAGAATACAAACAACTTGCAAAATTCTTTGTTTCTGTTTCTGAATTGTATGCTGTTTTATAATTCATACACTGGAAACTTCCACCACAGATAAAGGCTATAGAGTTGCAGTGTTAAAGGGACACCCTGTTGTTCAGTTATAATGTATTTAATAGATTTGCATTGCAAATACTTGCAGTATCCTCCTGTGCATGCTTCAGTGTAAATAGGGGTCAGCCAATATGAAGTCTGCTTCATGCAATGTAAGGACAGTGATCTGCAGAAATAACCACTGGATGTTTCATTGTGGTGGGAAGAGAACAAATGGAATGGGTTTGGAAAAAAAGTACAAAAACAAAGGAATAAAAAGTAGTTTTTATTGTTTTGTTGTTAGATGCAATTGAACATGATTGCACTAGTTTTCCTTTAGCCTGAGTAGTTTGAGGTGTGCCATATTCAAGGAGTGTGTCCTGTTTCATGAGTATGTTCCTTGTTTCAGCACATGTTCTGGTCAAAAAATAAAAGGTATTCTTTGCTAACATGGAGACTGTCCAGAGCTGTGTAATATGTATTTTTTTTTAGCTTTAATTTTGCAGATGTTTTTCTATAAAATACATTTTTGAGCAAGTTAGTCTGTGAGTGATCAAAAGATTATGGAGTACAAGATACTGATGTAGTATATTTAATAAAACTCTCTCAAAAAAAATACTGAACCATTATTTAATATTATTTTAATAAAATTTATTTAGAGGTTCATCTGAACTTTCAATCTTTGAAGTAAGTAACAGTGATAGACTGAACAACTGAAAAGTAGCAGGTGGGCATCTGGTGCCCTGCTGGGGGCTGTGGGGTTGTTCTGGGTGTGTGTGGGGAGGACGCAGGTATGGGACGTTCCACGTGGGGAATCAAAGAATAGTTTAGGTTGGAAGAAACCTTTAAAGGTCATCTAGTCCAACCCCCTGCAATGAGCAGGGACATCTTCAACTAGATTACTCAGAGCCCCATCCAGCCTAACCCTGAATGTTTCCGGGGATGGGCACTGTGGTCAGTTCAAACATCCCCTGTTCAGTCCCACGATCTACTGCATGTTTGGTGACTGCTGTCACACATGCTGCCAGGGAGACCTCAGCCTCTCTGCCTTATGGCTCCCTGCCCCTCTGCGGCTGCAGCTCGCTCACCTGTGGTGCTGTAGCAGCCACAACCCTTCCCTGCGGGTGTATGGACAACTGACAGAGTCAGTGCGCAGGGGAATGTGCAGTGGTACCAAAACAGCGCTTCAAAGGGGACCTTTCCTAGAGCAGCTGACCTACACCCCTGTGCAGGACCGTTAGAAGGCTCTAGAAGTACAGACATGTGAGAAGACAATGGTGCCCAACAGCTGCAGGAGAGAAGGATGTGGAGCCTCTGTTGGCGATGCCCACGGCTCACCCTGCGGCGGCAGAGCAGCCCCGTGGCTACCTGTGGCCTGTTGCTAGCCGGGAGGTGGCTGGCAGGCCGGTGCAGCTGGTGGCCTGGAGCAGCACCAGGGTAAGGATGGGCTGTTCAGGGACAATCAGCACAAGGAGCCCTGTGGATCTGTTGGGCTGTGTCCTGCGGGTGCCCTGTGAAGGGATGCTGCCCTCACACCTCTCACGGGCTGTCAAGTTCAACTGGGTGTCGTGCCCGGCATTTGTGGCTTTGGCACCGCTGTGGGGGCGGCTGCTGGGTCTCTTGGGTTTGGGCTTTGTTCCCCGTTATGGGACTCCACCAGCTTCTCTCGGGGTTTGTGGTGCACATTTTCTTACCGTGAATATTGACAGCGTGTGCCCGCGTCTTTCAGTGAAGAGAGATAAAGGGAAGGGCCTGTTTTTGCACGTTTACGGCATTTCCGTTAATTTTATACCTTGGCCTTTAAGCCAGAGGCGGGCTGTGAAGGTGTGAACTCTGCTGATGGGAAGGAGGGCGGGAGCTGCTGCAGATCTCACGGAATTGTACGGGCAACGGGAAAAATATAAAGCTTCTTGTACGGGAACAGACTGTGTGGCGTAAATGACACCCAAACGACAGATAAAGAGCAGATTTAAACACCACCAATATCCCCATCCCCACCCCCACCCCCCCGGTTTCCCTTCCCTGTTCGTTCAGCAGGGGGTTCCCGGCAGAAGTGGGGGCCAGGCCCGGCCAGCGCCCTGTCCCACCGCCGCAGTCCCCGCTCCCACGGCTTCCCCCTCTCCTCGCCGAGCCCCAGCGCTGCAGCCGGTCCGGACGCCGGCGGGACTCCTCTCCAACCCCGCCGGGCGCAGGCGGGAGGGGCGTTTCCGCCGGTCCGGTCCGGTCCGGCCAGGAACGCTTCCGGCCGGAACGAGCGGGGCGCGGGACGCGTTTCCCGGGGGGAGGGAGAGCGGGGACGGATCCTCCGCCGCCTCCACCTTCCGCCATGGCCGCACGGCTGCTCTGGCGGGAGTCGCGGCGGCTGCTGGCTGGGGCCGGGGCCGGGCTCAGGCTCAGCACCGCGCCGCGCCCCGAGAAGAAGCGGTGGCTGCGGGCCTACCTGGAGCAGCAGCGGCTGGAGGCGCCCCCCCAGCGGCGGTGAGGGGCGGCCCGGGCCTGAGGAGATGGGGGTGGGGGGAACACGGGGTGCCGGCGGGGCTGGGGGACGGGAGTGCGGCGGGCTGGGAAATGGGTTAAATCACCACGTTTCCGCACCTTGTCGCCGGTGTCAGGGCAGGGTGTGTGCGGCCGGTGCGGAGCCCGGCGGGGGTCCGTCCTGCGGCGGCGAACCCGCGGTGCTAACGAGAGAGAAACCTGCCTTTGAGGGCACCGGGCTGCTGAGCGCTGCGTCGGGTCTAAAAAACTAATTGCGGTTTTCATTGCCTTTCTGCCACCTGACGCTCGCAGTGCGGGCACCTTCCCGCTCTATTTCTGAACCCCTTCTCTTGCCCACGCCTGTAGGTCCGAGAAGCCCAACTGGGATTACCAGGCGGAGATACAGGCTTTCAGCCACCGGCTACAGGAAGACTTTTCTTTGGATCTCCTCAAGACTGCATTCGTTAATTCCTGTTACATTGAAAGCGAAGAGGCAAGACGCCGAGACCTTGGGATAGACAAAGAAACGGTTGCTCTTAATCTAGAGGATAACAGTAAACTCGCCGAACAAGGGGTGTCTTTTTCACGTTCTTACCTGACGCAGTGCTTTGAAGGTGCCTACCCAGACTTACCGGCCAAGGGGGTAGGAGCACTTGTTGATTTTCTCACCAGCCAGGAACTTGTTTCTTATGTGGCTCAAAACCTGTCTATACAGGACCTGACGCTTTGCAGAGAGTTTCCTGTCCCACCAGATGTGCTGCAGAGGACGTTCTTTGCCGTGATCGGAGCCTTGCTCAATAGCAGCGGGCCTGAGAAAACAGGGATCTTTGTCAGGGTGAGTCATTACTTATCACATATTTTTGTACCGACAACAATAACATCTAAGGGGCCCAGAAGTTACAGGAGAAAAATGCAAAAAAAATTTAAACTGTCCTGTACCTTGATGACCAGAAATCCAGGGAGATCGGCAGAAGTTTGACAATAATTTCATTATTCCATGTAAGGTCACATATATCTTCAATTAAAAAAAAAAAAATTTATATAAAGCAGGGGCTGAGCTCATAGGTTTTGCATGTAGGAGTGCAAGCACCTGAAGGTATTTCATACAAAAATGTTCAATTAAAATGCAGTGTAACATTGTAGTTTCAGCAGCTACTGTCCTTTCAGTTGTCCTTTTCACTTATTTCTAGTTCTGCACAGGAGAAAAAAGAAATGTTAAAATGTTATTTCTGATCCAAGACTATTTGGAAGTCTTCATAAGAGCAATTAGCAGTTAACAGGCAAGAGAGTGATCCGAAGAGGTGAAAATCCCGTGGATTAACACTTTCCCCTCAGCCTGTTTGCAGAACTCCTCTGATGCACAACGTCTGGCTTGGAAGCAGCTCTGAGTTGTTACCTCGTGCTGGGAGCTGCACGTCCACGTTGTTGGAACCCCCCTCTTGGGCTGTTGCTCTGTTCCCTCTGTAGGTCTGGGCTGTTGGCTTTGTCCGAGGCGTAGGTCCCGTCGGTGGCTCGGTGGGGCAGAGCTTGGCTCAGTGGGGCAGAGCTGCCAAGTGTCACGGCGCTGGTGAGCTGTGCTTGGCTGTGGTGGAGCACCGGGGCGGCCTCATCATGCACTTCAGCAGCTTGTTGTCAGCTGTATTAATGCCTCTTCATATTGTGTTTATTAGCAGATACCAGAAGCTAGAGCCTTCGTGACCTTTCCCATTAATTGTAACTTCTAAATATTTTTTTGTTTAGGATTTTTTTATTCCCCAGCTGATCGGAAAAGACCTGTTTGAGATCTGGGAAGTTATAAACCCCATGGGCTTGCTGGTGGAAGAACTGACCAAGAGGAATATCTCATCGCCAGAACCAAGAATTACCAGGCAGCTGGGAGTCAGCACAGTTGTGCCACTGTACTTTGTTGGGTTGTACTGGTTAGTATAATGTTAAAGTGAAATGGATTTAAACTGGGCGGGAGGGAGGAGGGAAGATGGTCTTTTCTACTTGTGCTCTTTGGTCAAGTTATTAGAGAAAAGAAACCTCACAGTGACTTCCGTGTCAAAGCAGCCATTCAAGCGTTGGCAATAGCTCGCTGTAACGATGTTTAAAAAGCCAGTCTCTGACTAAAGGGCTTCAGAGTCTAAATCGGGTGCATGAAGGAGTCTGGGTCTGTGTTCTGGGTGACCTGACACAGGAGCTTTGTGAATACTATAACTGAATGGCTTTGGAGGGTCACAACTGTGTCTAGAGCTTATGGAAGAGTAAAGAGACATAGACGTCAAGGGAGGTAGGACTGAAGAGACACTTATTTTATATTCCAGAGAAGTTGTTTAGTTTCCAAAGCATGGGCACTGTAAGGTAGGCAAGGGGAGTGTCTGTGTCCAAACACGACTTGGGAAGTGCCAGTCGTCCCCTCCCATGTCTCTGGCGTGGTCAGCACTCGTCCTGGTCTCTTGACCAGGGGTAATGTTGCTCCTCTGGAGCAGAACAGGACCTTCCACCAAAACCAACATCATTGTTGTTTTGCTCAGTGAGCTGCAGATAAACGCATGGGAAGATTGCCTTAACTTGCTCTGATTTATCATGCTTCATTTCCTATGCCTTCTAAGATTTATTTTCTTATATAAAAGAAAGGAACTTTGATTATTTTTCCTCGGGAATCCCTGATGTCCCTTCATGAACTGTTCATGTGCTCATAGATGTTGATTAAACAGAGCTGAGTACATACTTCATAACATTGAGAACTTCTCTGTGAATCCTTTTGAAGAAGTTTTAAAATGCTTTCTTACCAGGGGCAGTAAACTTCTCTGTTTAAGGTAACCAGAGTAATGAATTTGCATGTTTTGAACAGGGCTAACAAATTGAACGCTGTAAAGAATCAGTGATATGTTTGGAATCTCAATGAACAAAGTTGTGTTCTTCAGGAAATGGACACATTTCTGGTTTGAGTTTCCGTTGTTGAACATGCCATCACTTATCTTTGCAGGAAAGACTAACGGAAATGTTTACGTGTGTGTGGATATAGAAATTACCTTCAGTATTCACAGACATTGGAGAGAAAAAGAAAATCTATCAGCCCTTGTTCATAGTAATGCGTAATAGTGCTCAGGACTTCACAATAAAATGGTTTCAATTTTGTTTTTTTTCCCCCAAGCGATAAGAAGATTCTAGCTGAGGGTCCTGGTGAGACGCTGCTTGCTGCAGAGGAGGAAGCTGCCCGCGTGGCGCTGCGGAAGCTCTACGGGTACACAGAGAACAGGAGACCTTGGGATTATTCAAAACCCAAACAAGGATCGGCAGCTGCGAAGGCCATCAGCAGGAACTAGACAATAAAAGACATTTCAGGTTTCTCTTAAGAATTAATGGCTTCCATGCTGACTGTAGATGTATTTAGGAAAGCAAGATTCCATTTGGTTTTCCGATCTTAAGTGCTTGAAATCTTAAAATCAAATATAGTATTAAAATAAAAGGTCTTTTACTTTTGCACAATGTGTAATATTTGCTCATTTTCCTAAGCATAACAAAAGTACCCATTTTCTGAATTTTTGTCTTTTGACTCAGAAGTTTTTCCATACATCTCAGGAAACTATTTTTAAGGATGTTCAATAATGTGTGACAAAGTCTCACTGGGTAGGAAAAGGTTTGGTAAGTGCTTCCTTGGGGATTGTTTTGAGGGTATGGTTAATAAGATGAGTGGAATTACGTGTGCAGCATCGGTCTTTGGATTGCATCTGGATTCATTTGTCTTTGACCTTATGAATACATGAAATGTGATGTCAATGATATTGATGCGGTTGATGGTCGAATTTACAAAAAAAAATGTGCAAATGTCACTTTTGAGGTCTCACTGCTTGCATACAAATTTCATGTGCCCTACACATTGGTTTCTATTGTTGGAGCTCTGAAAGAGGCATATATTTAATTTTAAAATTTGTAAAAAGGAAAATGAGGCTCATGAAGGCCTGAACTCAAAGAAATCGGAGCACATTGTTTAATGCTGGGCTATTCAGTAAGGCACAGCCTCCTCTTTCTTTTCCTTCCCCTTTTTTTTTTTTTTTTCCCCTTTTGGTACTTTTCCTGTATAGTCCAGGTTCTTCCATTTTTCTCCTGTCTCAGCTACTTATTTTAACTAGTCGTGTGACTAAAGCATTGGATTCAGTGAAATCAGTGTTTGTTTTGTTTGCAGAATCTGTGGCCCTTCTACTGTAACTCCAGGTAAATGGAAAGTGACATAGGAGTCACTTGGCTACCTCCATTGTGTCCCTGTTAAATGTCATAGAAACCCAGTGTGTGTTCCAGGAGACAAGAGATGCATGAGAATTGTCACTTGTTTCCAGTTGTTTCCTTTAAAATGGAATGAGAGTCTGTTGCAAACTGGGACTGAGCCCTCAAAAGAAGAAAGGAAGAAGCTGCATGTAGGACAGTGCTTAAAGAAGTTTTTCCGGCCTTATCCCAGTGTGAACACTGGTTGTAAAAAAGAAAGACAACAGGTAAATGTGCCCTCGCTAATAAGGGGAAAAAGTAATGATGCAAGTGCCATTCAGACAGGTTTGATGTTTCTGTCCCTAACAACGTGTACCCACTGCCTTTGGCCCCCAAGAGTGGCACATTCCCTGCGGCCCCAGGCACAGGAATGAGACCTGACTCTGCTCTGCCTGATGGAAACAGATTTTCTGGTGTATTCAAGCGAAAGAACTGGTTGCCTGTGATTTGCATGTGTCTTAGATGTTTGGTGTGATGTGCATCTTAAGCATGTGTGAAACACGGGGCTGGAGAGCAGCAAAGTCTTCCTTCTGTGTTTTGGCATGGGAGACTGCATGTCCGAAAGCTGGAATATAAAAAGGAGAACAGGAACATCAGTCGAGCATAAAACACGCATAAAATTGCTTGTGTGAAGTGAAAAAATGCAGCTAAGTAATCTATTCTTCCTTATATAAGCAAAGCCAATAAGGTCACTGTATTCCAGGGGAATAACAGCAGAACCTGAAGAGAGGATAAAAATTACTCATGCTATTTTTAGTTTCTAGATGAGGTGTTTCTCTTACCTTTACCTATTTTAAAAGGACAACAGCGAAGGTGGGTTTTTTACATCCAAAGTTTGATCTACCTACTATTCTTACATACGTATTTTAGGAGAGACAAAAAAAAAAGTAATTTTCTGGCAGTTTACCTTAAAAGAGTGTTTAAGATCTGCTTGCTGTGGCTTCACAGTTTGGAATATGGGCATAAGTCTTAGAAGAAGGGGATTACTGAATCTGGAAAAAAATTGAGGAATGCAAGATAAATCAATTTCATTGTGTAGAACACATATGGAATGTCTTGAGCTGAAACAGAAAGACAGTTTGGGGACATGGAAAAAAGGACTAGATTTTTATAGAGGTGTGAGTGGAAATGGAGTTTTTGTAAGAAAACATGTCCTAGTTTCAAGCTTCCAAAGGTCAGAAAAGCATTATATGTGGTATCTGTGCTTCACCTTCTGGCACTTAAGTTTACGTATTTAAGGATTTGCCGTTGTAACAGTGGAATCATTTACATACTTCTGCTTAATAACTTCCTTTTTTTTTTTCCTGAATCGGAAGCCATAAACGAGGTCCAAGTGACATTAAAAGATTGGTTAGATTTACAGAAATCAGTATCTACAGAGTCTGGTGAAAATGGCAGCTTTTTGCCTGCTAGAAACTTTGTTCATGAAATTCCATTGTAGTTTTGTTGTCTGAAAAGCACTTTGTAAGCTACTTGCATTAGTTTTAACCCAGGTGCTGCATTACAAGCGCATTTATGTTCCTTTCTCAATCACATATTATTTATCTTTCAGAGAGGGCAATAGATCAAGCAGCTTGTCAATAATTGACTGACAGAAAGGAATGAGGGCAGTTTGTTCTTGCAACTCATGTTATTGATGATTGTTATGAATATTCATAAACCTAACAGTAGGAAAGGATACGTTCTCTCACATTTATGGAATTCTGTAATAGGTTATCATCTCAAGAGTCAACTTTGATTATGCTTTTCTGTACACTACCTTTTAACTTTATCCAATGCAGATGTTTCTGTTACTGTATTTGCATTTATCTTTCAACTCTTTCAACTCATTCAAACCCTATCTCCTAATCAAGATGTTGTCTGTTAAGTGAGAAGTATAATTGGTAAGCAGAACACAAATAACAATATTTCTTCAATAACTAAAATGTGACATCATGTGTGTACCAACAGCTGCATTTTGACAAATGTATAGTACTTTCTGCTAACCCTTTTTAGCTGTCTTTTCTTTCTCCATCTTTGTATTAGTTTGCGTAAGAATGCCCGTGTGCGTAGATATAAGTTGACTTATGAAATAAATGTACCACTAGTTGTTAATTCATTAAAAGCAGTGTCAGTTTTGCTATTGATTTTGGTCTAGACTTGGGTTTACTTAAAATATTAAGTAAACTCAGTGTCTTTGGTTACTTTACATCTGTCATCTAGATCCTTTGTCTTTTTCTTGAAGGTATTTTAAAGGTGATTTTTGTTTTGAGAAAGATAAGAGAAGTTCCACTGTATTGGTCCCAGCTAAGTAATTAGGAGAAAAACTTTTTAATGTGATTTCACGCACTTCTGTTAAGTTACTTCTGTTCTCAGTATGTGCTTTTGCTGCTGTGTCTCGAGCTGTTTAGTAATGTAACTGAATGCTCTGTATTATATCCTTGTTTTCAGCTCTTTGTATGGTTACAATAACCAGATGTTTTGCTGTAATTTTCTCTTAAAAATATATTTAAAAGTCCAGGAATAATTCTTGTGTTAATTGTTCCTGAGATATAAAGGCAGAAGCTTAAAATACAATCATTTTACAATTATCTCCACATTAATTTGGAGTTTGAAATTGCCAGTGAAAAGTTAAAGCTTTAATTGAAAACTCCTGTACCAAACACTTTTGGTTTTTATGATAAATCAAAAATTTAAATATGTTGCCCTGGTGTTATATTGCTATAAAAAGCAATGAAGAATTCAAAACATCAAAAGATGTGGTGTCGTTGTTGTTTGTGGGGCAGGGGGAGAGGGATGATGCGGAACAGAAACATTAGAGGAGCCCTACTTTTGCTTGTCCTTAACTCTGCTGAGTGCTGCAGTAAACTTTAACAGGCTCTAAAGTATTTGGTTTCTCTTCTAAAAGTACATCTGAGCTTTGAAGCTTAATATTAAGTTATGCATTAAGTGAAGTAAACATCTAAAGACAGATTGTTTTCATTTTTTTCAAATTGATTCCACTGATCCAATGGCACTGGTTTTATGCGTTTACCTTTTCAGCTTGTGGAAGAAATTGTTGATAAATGAGGAGGATACACTGGTCAGCAGCTGGTCAGGGAGTAGCCACTGTCACGGTGCAAAGTCGTGTACTGGAAACAGGGTTGATGTGTGACAGAATGGGAGCACCGCAGGCTGTCGGTGGTTCTGTGCGTGACGGGGCGTTCTGCAATGCAGCTCCTCCTGCTCCATCTGAGAACGGGGCTGGTCTTTGGGAAAAAGGTACCTCTAGAGAGAACATCAATGTTACCATCCCTTTCTATTTTTGTACAATAAGTATAATGTTCCTGCCAGTCTGTGGCAGTTACGCTTGTGACTGTGCTCCTGAACTTCCAGTTTAATGTTCAAATATGTTACCTGAATCACTGGAGTGCAGGTATTGTATGGCTGTCAGGGGCCTCGTGGATCATCAAGACAATTCATCACCATCACAGCGGTGTCACGAGCCTTTTACTAAGCAGATTGAGCTCCGTTTTAGAAGCATTATATTTTTTTGCTCCTGTTGCTCCAGCTGGCGACAATTACAGAACCTCACTGTTCTGATAGGAAAATGAAAAATTATACCTTGCCTCTGTAAGTACACATTACCAGTTGTGCTCACGTGTTCTTATAACAGTCATCTTTATCAGAAGAAATCTTGATTTTATTGACATTGGGAGAATTTTGCATGTAATTCCAATGAGATGAAAATTTCATTGAATTTTGACATGCTTGAGAGTTCTCCCTTTTAGAGTGTCTTGATAGCTCTACAGGCCTATGTTTTCCCCTAATCAGGCTGAGAGGCTTATATAAATCAGAGCAACACTTATTTTTATAACTTGAGTGACATATTTTAGATTAATCATTACCTGACATTTGTAGTTTAATAGTCTTTGTCCTGAAGCCATGATTTTGGATTAAAGTACTTAATTTTGGTACTTTATATAGGCAATCAAAATTAATCACATCAATAGGTAGGTGTGTCTATTAGAAAATGGTATTTTCAATGGTCATTCAAATCATGGCCAATTTTTATGTAGCATTTCTAACTCTTAAAAACATGCATGCTTGCACAAAAAAAAAAGTTCTGAAAGAATGTTTTGATATCCAGCTTCAAAGAAACTTTTAAACACAATTTAATGCAAGTTGTTTCAGTAGAGAGAGACAATAGCTATAGTCCTTCACTTCTGGCAACAGATTCTGTAGTTTCATGATTGACACATATTTAGCCAGGTATCGAATCAAATCTTTGGTTTGTCGATGTCTCTTTCTGTGAGTTGTGGCTGGTACTTGGTGGGGGGAGGGAAGCACCACTAGCAATTCTTCCACCTTACAGAAGTGAGAAAAGAAACAATTCTAACTGGTGTGGGAGAGCAGATTCTGAAGTTTCTAGGTTTGGAAGTTTTAAAATGTTCCACTCTTGCTTACTTGATCATCTCTAGAGAATGATGCTACCATTAATGTAGTACATAGTGAGTGATAATAGACGCATTGCCACATTAAGCTGACAGAAGAGTGGGGGCATCTCTAGGTTTGTGATTAATATCAATGAGGTAATTGCCAGATATTGCCAGATCAAACAAATAATTAACCTAATTGAATGAAAAATCACTAGGTGTTCCTGGAGGCTGAAGGAAGCACAGTAGTAGAGCACTGCTGCCCTACATTAGACATAAACCTATGAGAGAAAATTCAGAATAATTGGAGTTGAAGGATGCCATTCTACAATCCATTATTGTGGAATATCTCCTTCATGGAGGCAGCCCTACCTAAGTAAGACAATGCTAATGAAACTGAGGAAGTGTTACAGAATTAGTCCTGTAAGAGGAGGATTAACCAGGGGGAAGCATTCCCACCACCAGAGGGCAATAATATGTCTAAAAGTTCTGGTTTAGTCCAGTAAAGAAATTTGGTCACTTTAATGATCATTTCAATACAAAGAACTAGGATACACAGCTTTAGCCTCTAAGTTATTGGAAAAAATATCAGTGCTTGGGATGATAACCTAACAAAATGATTTGTAGAAATGACTCCAACATCAGAGTTTAAGGAAGAAGAGTCCAGAGAGAAAATGGCTTGATTTGTTGAACATTAGTTGAATACTAATGAAAATTACTCTCTTTAATTTCAAATGACAGGAACTGAAAATGTTTACAAAATAATTTTTGGTTTACAGTTCATCAGAAGAAAAAAAAACGTTGCCTCATTTAAACCTGCGTATCTGAATGTTGTTTATTCTGTTTCACAGACCTGCATCAAGCACTGACTGTGGCAATGAGCTTAGAAGAATTACTTTTTAAATTTGATTGGGCTTTAATCACTAGGAGGCTAATGGTTCTAGTTTGGAGTGATTTACCTATCATTTTCTATTTACAATACCAGAGTACAGTTCAGTTTTGCTTTTATGTGTCTTTCGCAGTAGAAATAGATGTTAAATATTTCATTTCTATCTCAATATGCAATGCTCTTTCAGATTACATATGGGCATATCAGCATGGCAATTGTAGCAGTTCATTATTGCTGCTTTTATTACTTTAGGATGAACCTCCCCTAGATGCACATAGTTCTACTTCAAGGCCCTTGGCATTGCATAGTTTTTTTCCCAGCTGCTGGGAATCTGCACTGACACTCAGTGTCCTGTGACTTCAAGCGTGATGTCAAAGTGCGGTTTGTGGTAATTTCCTCACTTCAGTGTGTGCCACATGAACAGCAGGCGGGACGCTGACGTTCTTGGAAACCACCAACAGCAAAACTGCTGATCGTTCCCAGGTTTCAGAGGTAGGTGATTTATTGCATGGTTTATTTCTTTGAAAGATTCTTCTTGAATTTTTCAGTTCTTAATTGGCTATTTCAGTTGCCTACTGCAAGCTTGGCTGTAAGATCAAGTGTTTAGGAGATGATCATGGATCAGATTGAATTTGTTTCACCTCATTACCTTGTGAAAGATAAAAACGGGCAATTTAAAAATAACAGGATTGAACATTTTTTCTTGACTGGAGTACCATTGTCATCATTTTCTAGTAAACAAAACCATCAGGGACTAGATTAGATTTTAAAAAAATAAAGTATAATAAAATTTGGAATAAGCTTCAAATTTTTCCTCTAGAGAAAAACTCCCCCAACTGCAGAAGGAATTTGCTGTTAGTGACAGAATCTACTGCTGGATTGTCTGACTCTTACCACATTCTTTTAAAACCTGCAATTAATGCTTTTCAACCAAATTTCCATTTTGAAGGATAACAATACGTCATTTCATGTGTAGCTGTCATTCCAAAGAATTTGTGTTGACAAGCAGTTATTTTGATTTCATTGTACAAGGGGATGAGAGTGTCCACAGAGAGGACCGAAAGCAATTGCCGCCATTGCTTGGCAGTGCTAAGAGGCTCTAGAGAAGACAGAAAACACACGGTACTTTGGAGCAAAATGGGATTGTGGACAATGCTCTGAAAATTCATTGAGTGTTAGATGCTCAGTTTATGATGAGGATGAAATAATTCTCTATCAATGATGGAAAGAGTAGGAGTCTAGAACGAGTTCACCCTGGCAAATGTCTAGGTCAGTAACAATGGAACTTTTTCATTAATTACTATGAAACCTTTCTTTGTTAATTATTACTTTGCTTAAATTGTTTTATTTTTGAATGATTACACTCCTAATCCTAACTCTGAATTACCCTGCACCTTGAGCCAGCTGCACGGCTGGATGCTGGTGGCTGATGGGCAGGGCTGGGCACCCACCTCCCCTATCTCTCGCCTGCACGTGTGCACGTTTCAGTTGTGCACTTATCGGTGGGCACAAAGGCATGTGCAGGGAGGGGAAAATAGGTTGAAGGGTAGTTCTGGCATCAGAGCAATATTTATAAGCTGACTATGAATGCACTGAAAATGCATGAAAACGGCTATGAATGCACTGAAATTGAAAAATTGGAAAGCTGGACCTTAACTAGTAAAGCACTGAGGGCAGAAACAACCCCACTCGAAGAGAGGGGGAATGCAAACCCCCTATGGTTTCATAAAGTGGATCTTGATAATTTAGGATAGTCAGGGTAAACTTAGAGAACTCTAAGGAAATTATACTGAGAGTCATGAATTATAACA